TATGAAGTCCACAAAATTTTATTACATAATTACATGTTATTAAAAATAAATTATATTATATATATATATAATTACATATTATTTAATTTGCATAAAACTGGCAGAACAATTTTAGTAACAACTGCGTGTCCCTTCGTGACAAAGATGGATCTAGCGTCTAGTTCCAGTGCTTCTCCTCAGAGACTGGAATTTCCTTTTTTTTTTTTGGAAAAGACACCGGGAAAGCTTGCTTTCACCTTCTTACTCCGAAATTATACCAAACTGTCAATGATAGGATACAATTAATTAATAATATTATTATTAGTAATAAATTCGATCAACGATTTGGTAAAAACAGGAGAAATACAACCGAAGTCTCTCAAAAAAAAAAAAAATCTCTCAGTATCAAGGGTGCACCTTGCAGACGTATCCAAAAAAGCATGACTAACAAAATGGTTGTGCAATTTCAACAATATATGAAGATCACAAATTAAAGGGGTAAAATGTGGGATAACTTGTAATCCAATTCTAGCTAGAAGCATCTCTCTAGAACAATCTGAGCATGTCTTGGTAAATTTCTAGACAAAAAGTGAAAAGATGTCGAAGTAATTTATCTAGACTAATATACTGGGTACTATGGTGGATTATAGGGTGAAATGCATAATCTATAACCATGAAGTAAAAGTTGAGGTCATTAGTAAGTGGGCTACGCCGAGGAGATCTTGGTTGAATGATTTATGGTTCAAACCCAAGAATTAGAGTCATTTGGCTTCAAATTCCCCTACCCCTCCCTTCTTCTTAAGTTCTATCCTTCTCTGCTGGAAAAAAATTAAAAAAAAAATAAAATTAGCGAATGGACTACTCTATAAATGCAGCACCAAACCGTCAGCACGGTAGCAAGAAAACAGCCAGTTACAGAAAGTAGCAATAGCATTACAAAGCCTTTCATTCTAAATATCCCTGTTGTACCAAATTTCTATTTTCAATAAAAAGTTCCTCTTCGAATCACATTGCCACCCATTCACACAACTATTCGGGGTATCAAATTAAGACCCTCGTACCCAAAATAGACCTTGATGGAGCAAACCTTGGACGTGGTTCAACAGGTCTTGATGGCTGCTCAAGAAAACAACATCGATGCCTTTTATGGGTTACTCGGGCAGGATCCATACATTTTAGATCGCATAGATACAATCCCATTTGTGCAGACACCTTTACACACTGCTGCATCTGCCGGCTCAACTCACTTCGCAAGTGAAGTCCTTCGCTTGAAGCCTTCGTTTGGTAAGAAGCTCAGCCTTGATGGTTTAAGTGCACTGGATCTCGCGTTGCGCGGTGGACATACTCAAACTGTAAGAGGGCTCATCAAGCATGACCCTCAGCTCATTCGTGTCGAAGGAAAAAAAGGCATTACCCCCTTGCACTATGTTTCTGAAGCAGAGGATAGAGCTGATCTCCTGGCTGAGTTTTTGTACAGATGCCCAAAATCCATTGAAGACTTGACAATTGCAGGAGAGAGTGCTGTTCATATTGCTGTTAACAACAGCAACTTGAGAGGCTTCAAGGTACTACTAGGTTGGATGGAAGAAACTGGCAACAAACACATCTTGGAATGGGAAGATGAGAATGGTAATACGGTCTTACACCTTGCAGCATCCAGCAGAAACAATATTGAGGCACGACTCCTGATCCCTTATCTTCATTCTAGTAGTTGGTCTTTATTTTTGACTGTTCATTCTTTTGTATCAATTAGCCTTTTGTTAGGCACAATCCACCTGCTACTTACAAACTCCTAAATAGAAATGTACATCTTCTACCCTTTTTTTGGAATGTTAGGAAGCATGATTTAGATGTACCTAATATACCTTTCCTAATCAGCATCAGCTATTGGTTTCCACCCAAAAAAAAAAATCAACAATTGTTTTCTTAAATTGCATTATACGGGGAATTTTGACTTTGTATCATAATATTATGTCGATTTGGCTCAGGCCGCGAGATTAATTATTAAGCAACGGACGTTTAGGAGGGCTATCAACTGTTGCAACGTGGCGGGTTTAACTGCACTTGATATTGCCTTGGGACATCCAAATGCAGAAGAGCATGGAAGTATTGCAAAAGCTTTGTGTGCTGCAGGTGCAAAAAGATCAACATCCCATTCAAAAACTATAAATTTAGCTGATTATTGTGCTTTGATTCCGGCGAGATCATGGCTGGGACATTTTTCTGCGCCAAATTACAGATTGGTTAAAGTGCCAAATCCTAGAAATCCTAGTATTAATTCCATGTCTGGCGAGAAACGCAGCGCGTTGCTTGTGGTGGCCGTGCTAATCGCAACAGCAACCTATCAAGCTATTTTAAACCCACCTGGAGGACTAGCTTCTGGAAATACTGATATAAGCACCAACTCAACTTCAAACAGCACAGATGCAGGTTACGGGAATCCGCAAGCAGGATCAGCTCCATTGTTGTTATTCCCAAACTTTGGGGTAGGAACAGCCCAAGCGTGGGAACTTCCTTTCATAATTTTTATAACGTTTAACTCAGTCCTTTTTGCGTTGTCACTCCTCACCATTTGTTTTCTAGTTGAAGCAAATGACACTTGGGGTAAATTGCTGAAACCGGCATTAGCGTATTTTAGTATATGCTATGCAATTTCACTGTTGATAATAACACCAGATCTACTATCGGGAGGCGCTGGCGCCGTAGGAATGCTCGTAGTGTTCTGCTGGCCTCGGGGGATGTTGCAAGTATCGTCAGCAACTGCAAGAGTCGTGCGTAATGCAATTCGAGGAGAGACAATAATACCACTCCCAAGGGAAACCAGTAAGACGGGAGGATAGAGGTAATAAGAGTAGGAGAGAAGACGCGTCCGTACAAGGAGAGAGACGAGCAAAATCAGAAGCAAGCAGCTGTGGGGCACATGAGGGATCGGATATGAGTAACTGAGATTAACACCTGATGGTAATTCAGTCAGTCTAAAGAAAAATTGCTCTAGCAGTACATGAATTGCTCTGACAATAATATTAATACCCACCTTTGTATGACCATGTAAGGGCGTCCAGAAAATCATATATTGTTCTTATTTTTCATGTATGATCTCATTCCATGGTTCTCGTTTTTCATGTTGAGTAGGTCTTTTGCCTCACCCTTTGGCTCAGGTGCTCTGGGTGGTGCTGGCCTATTTATGGTTGTATGCTTGGTAAACGTTTGGATTAATTATTTTGGGAGTATTTTTGAAAAATTTTACTGTAGCAGAATTTTTAGAGTATATTTTGGAATATTTAAGAGTAGTACAGTTTTAAAAATATATTTTGGGATATTTTTTAAACATTACAAAAAATTTAAACTATTTTTTAGAGTACTTTTTAAAAATTTTATAGTATTTGAAAAACTAGTTTTTGAAAAATAGAAAGATTCTTTTATTTTTTTCTGTTTTAGCGAAACAAAAGGCAAAAACTATACCACTTGGGATCTTCGGTGACATATTTTGAGTGCCAATCCAATGCCACCTCTAATATTACGCCAAGTGTCCTGTTATTATTTATATTTTAATTTTTTAATAATTCAAATTGGTTTGATTTAATACAAGTTTTCTCTACCATCTAAACCTTTGAACCAAAATTAATGGGTCGATCTAATTCAAATACCATCTTCACTTTTGAGTTAACTACTCACGATCTGGGGAAAAAGAAAAAGAAAACCTCAAGGCGATGAATGCCACCAAAGTCTTTCATCGGTGATTGCTTTGAACAAAGCCAAAAAGAGACAAAGTCCCTGGAAGCTTGTGGCACCGTTGCCCAATAAGCTAAAAGTTAGGAAAAGACCTTGCATCACCACTCTAAAGTTTTGCCTGCGTTTTAATGCCAAGAGGTGACTTTTCTTCCCCTTTCTTGGATAACGAGATTCTCCTCCATATTGCTGTCAAGGACGATTGCTGGAGCGAACATCAGCAAGGGAATTAAAAAGAGATTTTATTACTATCTTCAATTCTAGGTAATTTATATGCCCTATTTTTTTACTTTTGTTTTTATTGTTATTGATTTAACATGAATTATTGTTTATTATTTACAAATAATTTACTATGTATGAATACTTTTGCTATTAAAAAAATATTTACTTCATGGGTCATAGTAATTCTTGATCATCTGAAGCAGTGCAAGCCCTCAAAGATTAAAAACCAGCTCCACATAAACCTGGGTTGTTCTCGTTTTGAAATCCTCCAATCAATCGCTTCAAAGCTGCATCCACCCTTAAAAGATCAAAGTGACATCCGTCACCCATAAGTTAAAAATCTGATTGTACATAAATTTTCATAAATCTGATTGCACTATTTTTTTATTTTTGTTTTTATTGTTATTGATTTAACATGAATTATTGTTTATTGTTTTCAAATAATTTACTATGTATGAATACTTTTGATATTGAAAAAATATTTACTGCATGGGTCATAGTAGATTCTTGGTCATGATTCCCCTAAACTGCATAGTAGATTCTTGGTCATAGTAGTTGCATTTGTCCCGAATATGTTGTCCCCTAAAGAATGAAGTTACATTAATGACAGAGGGAGAGTGAAATTCTGTAGGAAAGTATTTAAATAATCATTCAATGGTTCCCAAAGAACAAACTGAGCTGTTGAATACTTTAACCAATTATGGCACTGCAAAATTTTAGAGGTGGCATTGGGTTTTGTAGCCTATGTAATTACTAACAGTAACATCACCTACCTTGTGTTATGCAATTTTTTATTTTCATATTTGAATTCTTCATTTTCATTTCCGTGAAAGTGCAAATCTACATTGAATTGTGAGTTTGGAAAGGTTAAATATTAGTTGAGTGGTCAAATTGACTATTTACATGCTAATTGTGATATACCTGGAAAATAAGTTACTTTGTGGGATTAAAAAATTGTTTATTATTTCAAGAATTCTTATAAATTTTACTAATGTACCAAATTGAAAAAAAATACAAGAAGTAACAATAGCTTTTGTGACTAGTTGCAAGTAGTAGTATAATTAACTTTGTATTGCAATTAACTTTGTGTGAAAGTTTGCAAGATATGGATGCTACGACTTCTATGGAAATTGAGGTATCATCCTGTCGCAAATTGGATTTTGACAAGGTAGATCAAATTATCAATGATGAGGTTTTCACTCCACCAGTTTTAAATGTGATAAAAGATGTAAACAAAATTCATGCATCGATTCCTCCTGAACTACTTCCGAAGATGGGTATGGAATTTGAGAGTGAAGAAGATGCTTATAATTTTTACTTAGCGTATGCAAAGGAAGTTGGTTTTGGAATCAAAAGAAGTAGCTTCCACAAAGATAGCAATGGTAGGCTCGTGGATAGGGTATTTTGTTGTAGTGCTGAAGGAAAACGAGGAAATGATAAAAGAGATCTCAATGTAAGAGCCCCTCGTCCTGAAACACGATTTAATTGTTCGGCAAAGATGAAGGTTAATAGTAGACAAACTGGTAAGTTTCGTATATGTCAGTTGATCATTGAGCATAATCACTATCTTTCAAGTTCCAAACAATATATTGTTCTAACTTTTTTTTTTCTTTTTTAATGTATTATACATCTTTTATTTTTAGGCAAATACAAATGAGGTGAGCATGATAGAATCTTTACAGTATCAACAAAATTATGGCCAACTATGCACTTTCAGTTCCATGAACATGACTAGCTTGCTCAAGGTAAATTATTACTGTTGTGATCATGAATAATTACTTCTTTAAGAAAATATTATGTATCGTCTATTTGTATTCATCCATTTATTTATGTGTTCAATTTTTTTTTGTGATGCAAATCTAACCATAGGCACAAGAATTACATGGTTTCGGAGGAGCAAAAATAAATCAGTTCGAATTGAATGACAAATCTTGTACTATGGGACAAAAAGTTGGAGCTGATTGCAATGAAGAGGTATGCAATTGTCCGCATAGATTGAGCGAGTGAACAAAATGTTGACCAGAGGGGTTGGTGCGGAACCCATTCAGCCACGGAACCCATTCAGCCACTTTGGTGCATTAGAAATCCCGGCATGTGCAACATAGTTTGGCCATATGCAGGAAGTTGCGCAATATTCTGTGTGCAATATTCATTATGGTTATCCCCTGATTCCTCTGTTTTGTATTACTTTGAGGCTGCTTTGCTATCTGGATTTGGGAACTGATCTTTAGTGCTTGGATTATGTCTCTCCGAACTATAGTCCACCACTATACTTTATTACATATATGAACTCCATATCTTTACAACAATCCCACAATTCTTGAAGCAGATTTCATTTTTAGCGTATCTCATTATATAGAAAAATTCAAAACAACAAACATAAGTTCAACATCAGTTGCAACATAACTTGTCACTTATCACCATTAGCTATAAAACTTTTTATTTGCTCCTTTTCATCTTGCCTTGAATGAGCAACAAGCTTATCTTCATTCAGTACTATGTACAAAGTTGTCAACTTCAACCTAGTACTTAAATTGAAAAATAGCAGCAGATAGTGATGAATGAGGGTGTCAACCCAAATTTAAGCTAGAGAACAAGAACCACAGGAATTTGAACCTAAATCATAAATTCAAAAGTGTACAAGCAGAAACAGAGAAAGTAGAAAGTCAAACAGCATTTCAAATCTATTGGTTATAGACTGGACAAGGAATAAATAGCGTACCAATCAGGGATTCCAACTATTATTTTTGTGAAACAGCTATGCTGCTAGTGCCCAAGCGTGGTATGATTTCTAACAGAAAAGTGCAACCAAGCATGCAGTACATACTGGAGAATAAAGAAGTGCACCTGCACACAAACCATTTCCTCACTATCCTTTGGCTAATCCTATGGCTAAAACTATCATTTGATGGGCCAACCACATTCAATGGATCATCATCAGCAGACGGCGCTGCTGTCCCACCATTTGCCTAAAGAAGATCTTTGTCTTTGACGGGCCTGAATTAGTTGATCCATCACCAAATCCTTCAGCAGTTAGGAGCCATTTCCATATTTTGCCATCATCAGATATGGATATCATATTTGTCTTTGAGATAACGAGAGATTCATCACAAAAATCAAAGGGATTATTAAAATCCATTTCATGTTGAGCTGTGTACATCAGAGCAAAGCTTGCTGATATTTTGGAGGGTGGAATCTGTTTGGGAGACCACAACTGCAAGAATTGGAGGACAAGGAACCGGTGTTCCGACTGAGGGCATCAATTCTTCCATCAGACACATGATGTGCACCTGCTCTCCTCTGTGATATTACAGTATTAAAGTAAGTACATTCCCTAAAGTCCAGCAAACTCAATTATACATGTGCAGCTCATCAAATACATGACAAAGATAGTGACATTATTTGAAATTCAAAGGTTTCAGCCGCCGCAAACAAGGAAAATAAATAGAACACATACAACAAAGAACAAAATACTAAATTAGAGCAAACCCTATCCAGAACTAAGGCATTCAAAAATGAAATGGATACAACATGAAAAATAGCAAGCAAATAAAGAAAAATAAGGATGAAGACAATGGCATATTTAATTCAATAAGTCACGAAAATGTTAGAGAAAATATATCATCCAACACGGAGAGGTGAACCAAGGGCTAAAGGCATCCATGGTCTTTAAGGTTCATGGCTCACCCACACCTTGTTTACTGATCCCTCAACAAACACATGTACTAATTTTGTTTATCCATGCAAGAGGACTTAATGAATGTAATCTTTATGTAAGATTTAAAGTTAGCAGGAGAGAGCGTAAGTTGACTTCAACAGTGAAAGGACCAGTGTAATGCAACCCAAATATCATGCAAAAATAGTTTAGAGATAATGTTCGTAATCATGTGGTAACGAGAATAATACCTCTTTATCCATATCCACGGTTCTAAATTTGTCCCATTCTCCTATATTTGTCATGCTAAATGGGGACAGTGGCACATCATCACCTGTAAGATGAAGCTAGATCAGAAATATTTACAAATTCAGGCCATACTGAATAGTAAGGAAGTTACACCAAGATGACTGCTAACAAATTAAAACTGCGAAAACATATGTATTAAACAACTGATACAAATCATGACAAAGCTGCTTCCAGAGGGTTGTCTCCTACCCCAAGGCGGTGGAGCAAACAAGCCTCTAATTTCTTCTGCATTTAGACGAGGAACGAGCTCCATTAAAAGGCGATCATTTAACCATCTTCGAGATCTCCGGTTGCTGACCTGCAACAATTTGAGAAAAATCAGGAGGAATATAGCTAAGCAGGGCTGCAATTGAACGTTCACATTTTATGAATCTGATGGCCGAAATGATAGAAACAGAGTGGAATCAATGATTACATCATTTCAAGCATACCATTGACCGTTCAAATTTGCCATGAGATTTGAATCCTAAATTTAGAAAGATTCATGACTAGCTGCACGTCCTAGACATCCATTCCATTAGATAATCAGATAAAAACATTAAACCAATTTTATCACCTGCAGTGCAATCTAACAGTCTTGAAGATAAATAATAACCTACAAATGCAAGTTGCTACTGCAAACTTAGCCATAACTATTGTTAGTAACTAGTAACTGAAGAACAACAGTATCCAAGCTAGAGATAATAGGGGAAAGATAAAATCTTGCTAAAAGCGTAGAAGAAAAAATGAGAACTTGGGAAGTTACTTTTCCAGTCAAGCTCTCCAGGAACTCGATCTTTTTCTCAATATCCGTTCCTCTGCACTTCTCATTTTCTCCTGCAATTATCCCCTATAGAAAAATCAGTGATTTTTCCCAAAAGTCCCAAAAGTATATAATACATCCCGGAAACAGAATAATGTCTGTCGGGAAGACCCAGGGAATCAAGAAAATCTAGATCAGCAAGATTTATACTGGACCAGAAAATAATTTACAAATATCCTAATATCCAAAGCTATTTAAAAACTTGCTTTAACTGGTTCAGACGATTAAAAAGAAACCCAAAAAAAAAAACCCAATAAACTGGCAGCTGACAAAATGGAAAAAGAATGATGGAAATCGTAGGACCTTTGGGGTCATCAAAGAGGGACTGCCATAAGAGAAGATCTTCTTCTCTCTGCAAAATCTGAGGGGTCGCCATAATTGATAGAGAAAACTAGGTAAATGAATTTGAGATCTTGAGGTTCATCGTCTTGAGGTTTTCTTTTTCTTTTTCCCCAGATCGTGAGTAGTTAACTCAAAAGTGATGGTATTTGAATTAAACCGGCCCATTAATTTTGGTTCAAAGATTTAGATGGCAGAGAAAATTTGTATTAAATCAAATCAATTTGAATTATTAAAAAATTAAAATATAAATAATAACAGAACACTTAGCATAATATTAGAGGTGGCATTGGATTGGCATTCAAAATATGTGACCGAGGATCCGAGTGAAACTATACATGTTGAAAGGACAAATAGTAGACAGGACAGATGTGCTTACCATGTTGAGGTATTGTTTCAATAATTTCAGAGGCGTTGCAGCAAAGGACTATTCTTAAAACTATTGGTTTCAAAAGCATCGCAGAGTTATATATACCACAAGCATTGTTTAGAAGTTCAAATGTCCTTGAATTTTAAAGATGTCGAATTCTAGCAAAGTTTGAAGGACACGAGCTTCCCAAACTTCACTATATATATATTGTTCACTAATTTTAATGAGACCGAATGATTAATAACTAAAAGAAGAAGATCATATATGAACAACAATAAATTTCATGCAACTTTCATTGATTTCCAGTAACATTAAGTAAAATTTCCCATCAAATTTACTCACTATATTAATACTATATATTCTTTTTATGTGGGTAAAATTGACGCACAATGTGGTGGGATCAATACATTAGTCTATAATCTAGCAAGATTAACCTGATGTGAATACAATCTAGCAACATCAATACATAACTATGGGGATTCATACAAGTAGGTATCGTAATTAAAAGATTTATGGAAATTAATTAAAGTTACCATTAAACAATCTCTCTTCAACCAATTAATTGACTCATGCCTCGATGGTGCAATTTTTTGCCATTAAACCAAAAACGAAAATGTGAAGGTTATTTTGCATGGCTATCGTTGGCGCATCGTGTCAAGTTAATAATTGTGGCAACTGAATCGATTAGGATGTCTCCAAAGATTTAAATACTTGGCCTTGTAGGATTATGGTGGGTATTACCAAATCATTGAATTAGATCCACTGATAATAGAGGCTGAACAATTTTATTACACTCGAGGTGTATACAGTGACAACACTCACAAAATAAATTTAAGCTTCCTACTTATACTAGTCAACATCCAACAATTATCTTCATTTTCCTTTTCTTATTTAATGCCCAATTACTAGAAAATCCAGTGAAATTTATGAGCAAATCTGGCTCGAGAAACAAGTATGGCCCAAGGGCCTACAATTCCCACGTTCTATTAAAGCTACTTTACTTTGCTATCTCTACAGCCACAAATACATAAGATAGGCCTTTAGTTTAGAGTAGTAGTAAAAAATTATTGCTAACAATTTTACTGTGGCTTGCAATATTTTACCAAAAGACAATGTTGTACTATTTTAACACTCCCTCTCAACATTGACTTTTCTCATAGTCATTCCGAACATCTCTCAAAATTTCACAAATTTGGAAGGATTTAAACTTTTTTGTGAATATATCTACAACTTGGTTATATGTGTTGACATACTTCAAGTTAACTTCTCCTTGCAACGTCTTCTCTCGAACAAAGTGATAGTAGAGTTCAACATGCTTTGTCCTTGCATGGAAAATTGGATTTTCAGCCGAGCGAGTAGCTAACTGATTGTCATAGTATAATTGAATCGAGTGATCAATTGTTCGTGTAAATTCTTTATAAGTTGCATTAACCACGTACTTTCTTGTGCTGTTAAAGCTGCTGCTTTATACTACTTATGTATTGGATAATGACATTGTCGGCTCTCTTACTACATTAAAAATTGTGGCAGATCTAAGGTTGAGCATATAACCTGTGGTTGACCTCCTTGTGTCATGATTACTGGCATAGTTTGAATCATAATATCCAGTTACTTTGCATGTTTGCCCTTTCTTGTACAATAGATCATAGTCTTTTTTTTTTTTTTCGAAACGATAGATGATTGTATTACTAGACAAAAGCTGTACAAGTGCGAGCAAAGGCTCGATTGAACTTTACAAGTAGCAATGCTACCACTAAGGAAACCAATGTTCCTCATCAAAAATAATGCCCAAGGCATGAATGCTAAGCTTGGAGCTTAGTTGAGTCTTATCCTTTTTAATTAAACAAAAGGAGCACAAAGGAAACAGCTCTCTCAAATGAACAATGTCATCCACAACAGTAGCTAATCTAATGTCACCTACGCTGTTTGTGCGAATTTGACTGAGAAGTTGTGGGTTTTGCACTTGGAACTGCACTTCCCTGATGTGTGTCCGGACTGGCATAGAGCCAATCTTACACATGGCCAGCTTAAGTGCATTAGCATCATCCAGCAGTGCTGAACCAGAACTTCTTGCTCGAAGTGCCCACCCTCTGTGTAATCCTTGATCAGGCTGCTTAGTAACAATTCCAATACCCATGTTGTGATTGTTCATGGTCGAAGTTGCCCCTACCGTCACTTCCAGTGTCCCAAATGCTGAATGTAACTGCGGTATGGGTGCTTGGAGGGTTGCTGTTTCGTTTGTACTCATTCCACATTCCTTTGTATCAAGTTCTACCAATTCTAACCATTCCTGATGCGCCCTCTGTACTATCTTCCAAGGCTGTTTTTCCTTACCATTGAATTCCATTTCATTCCATACAATAGATCATAGTCAATGGTCCATTTAATGTATCTCAAAATCCAACTCACAGCTTCCAAGTATGTTTTTTTTTTTATTTTGCATGAATCTACTCAGAGCCCAATTGCATATGATATGTCATGTATAGTCAAAGTGAAATAGATTAAATTATCTACCAACTATCTATATATGATAACATCATTAAGGTCTTTGCCCTATAGAACAATATCTGGCATTGACCTCTGTTCGAGTTGGAGTGTGTATCCTTATTTGCCAAGGACTTTTGCTCTTTTCTAGCTTGTTGGTTTTGGGCAGATCTCTCCTGTATCTTTTCTTCTAACTCCTGCGAATACGGCAACAGTAATGCCTGTAATGACCACCACAATTATGCCTCATTATATATCACATTTCGTGAGGCATAGCGTTTTCCAGTTGTAGGGTCAGAACAATTTCAGCCTTTTTGTTAATTATGATAGCCCATGAATATACAACGAATGGCTTTCTTATCAAACTTGGTTCAGAGATGATACGGCACAAACACATATCAAACATATCCAAATACTCTAAAATGAGTAACATGAGGTTTAACATACCCAAGCTTCTCGATTGAAGAGATACAATCCAACTTAGGCTGAGATAGTCTATTGGTCACATTGACTGCCGCAATTCTAGCCTTTTTGTTAATTATTATAGCCCATGAATAAACAATGCATGGCTTTCTTATCAAATTTGGTTCAGAGATGATATGGTACAAACACATAACAAACATACCCAAATATTTTAAAGTGAGCAACATTGCATTTAACATTCCATAACTTCTATATTAGAGATATAAAATCCAACTTAGGTTAAATTAGTCTAGTGGTCACATTGAATACCATTTTCATACACTCAACCAAAAAATGTGGAGGCACATTTTTGGCATGTAGCATACTTTTGCAAATCTCTGTGAGATGCCTATTCTTCTGCTCAACTACTCCAATTTTGCTGAGGTGCACCAGGAAAGGTCAGCTGCCACCTTATCTTGCATTCTTGCAAGAATCTGGTGAACTCATTTGATGTCTATTCACCTCATTGTCTATGTGTAGACACCATATCTTTCTGCCTATTTCTTTCTAGATCTTCTCCTTGAACTCTATAACTTTGTTCAAGGCTTCTGACTTTTCCTTCATAAAGTCACTCCAAACACATCTAGAAAAATCATTAATAAAGATAATCATGTACCCCATACCATGGTTTTTTCACTCAACCAAATATAGCTAAGTGAATTAGTTCTAGAGACCCCTTTGCTCTAAGATTTGACTCCTCATATGGAAGTTGATGAGCTTTTCCATACTGGCAACCTACAACCTACACAAACAATGTTTTCTCAGACATCTAACTGGGAAAGTCCTATAAGCATCGACATCATCATCATGATCTTCAACTTGTGGTAATCATGTTAGACACCATTAATTGAGTCTCGTAATGGAGAATATCTTCTTAAAGCCTCACTCTTGAGATATTTGCTCAAACACTCAATCAACAATTCTAAATAGTAAACACTCACGACTCTACTGGAAGTGAAATATACCTAAATAGAAATATACATATTCTACCCTCTTTTTTTTTTTTTTTAAGGAATTGGGTTGTCAGCCCCTTGTTAGGACTTATGAAGCATGATTTAGATGTACCTAATACACCTTTCCTAATCAGCATCAGCAACTGTTTTCTACCAAAAAAATGTTGCAATTGTTTTCTTAAATTGCATTATATAGGGATAATAATATGTCGATTTTTGCTCAAGCCTTGAGATTAATAATCAAGCAATTGAAGTATAAGACATTGATTGGGTATAGAACAAGGGGTATCAATTGTTGCAATGCGGAGGGTTTAACTGCACTCGATATAGCTTTAAGAGATCCAAATGCGGAAGAGAATGGAAGCACTCCAAAAGCTTGGTGTTCTGTAGGTGAAGATTCATCACTCCGTTCAGCACTGTAAATTTAGCTTACTATTATGTTTTGATCCTGGCGAGATCGTTTCTCGGAGGAAAGTGTTATGGGGGCAAAGGTGGCTTATTTCAGGCGACTTTAATGATATCACTTCCAATGATGAAAAGTGGGGAGGACGACGCAGAGAGGAAAGTTCTTTTCAGGACTTTAGACAATTTATTAACCACAATGGACTCATCGATTTGGGATTTGAAGGGAACCCCTGGACATGGAGTAATCATTGGACTCAACAAGGGGAAATCAAGCAAAGACTTGATCGAGCTTTTGGGAGCTGTGACTGGAGCCAAGAGTTTGATAGAGCACGTGTAAGGCACATTGAAAATGTTGGGTCTGATCATAGCATGATATTACTAGATTCCAACCCTATTACGTAACACCGGAAAAAAAGGTTCCTCTTCAACAGGAGGTGGCTGAAAAATGAGGGACTCGAACAGGTGGTTAAACAGGCTTGGGAAGAGGGTCAGCTAGGATCTAGAATGTATCAAGTACATAGGAAAATTGCGAGGTGTCGAGTGGCAATCCTCAAGTGGAGAAATAACTTCCAAAAAAATGCTAGGAAGAGCATTGAAACATGTAAGAAACAGCTGGAGGATCTCAGAAATAGTGACTGTCAAGACAAAAAAGGGAGAAAACAGATGCTGAAAAGGAAATTGAAGGAGGCTTATGATGAGGAAGAGACTTTCTGGAGCCAGAAGGCTAGAGTTCAATGGCTCAAGGAGGGAGATAGAAATACACATTTCTTTCACTCAAGTGTTAAAGGAAGACGCAAGAGAAATAGGATAACAAGATTACAAAGAAAGGATAAATCTTGGGCAAAAACTGAAGAGGAGATAGGAGAGGAAGTTTTGAAGCATTATCAAGATCTCTTCGGCAGTAAGGGGGCTGGGCAAATAGATAAGGTCCTAAAAGGAATATCATTGACCATCACTAACCAAATGAACGTAGGACTTATTGCACCTGTTAGGGAGAGAGAAATTAAACAAGCCTTATTCTCTATGAACCCAACAAAATCCCCTGGTCCGGATGGCATGACTCCAATTTTCTTTCAGAAATTTTGGCAGTTCCTCAAAACAGACATCATTCAAGCTATCAAAAGCTTCTTTCATTCTAGCCATATGCTAAAGGCAGTCAATCATACACTCATTTCCCTGATTCCTAAGGTAGAAAATCCCACTGAGATCAAGCAGTTCAGGCCTATAAGTCTTTGCAATGTTTTGTACAAAATCATTTCCAAAATTCTTGCTAATAGATTGAAAAAAGTGCTGGACAAATGCATCAGTAAAAACCAGGCAGCCTTTGTGCCTGGAAGACAAATTTTGGACAACATTATTGTTTCTCACGAGTACTTGCACTACCTTAAAAACAAAAGGCAAGGGTCTCAAGGATTTATGGCTTTAAAGTTAGACATGTCTAAGGCCTATGACAGGGTGGAGTGGAGCTATTTGAAGGCTGTGATGAACAAAATGGGTTTCAGTGAGATTTGGATTAGTTGGATAATGGAGTGCATCACTACAACTACTTTTTCTTTCAATATAAATGGGGAGTCTAAAGGTTACTTAACACCTTCAAGGGGAATTAGGCAAGGTGATCCGCTGTCACCTTACCTTTTCTTATTAGTATCCGAAGGCTTCTCCAATTTGTTGACTCAAGCGGAGAACAATCACAAGCTATCAGGATTGAAGATAAGTAGAGCTGGACCATCAATTAGTCACCTTTTTTTCGCAGACGATTCTCTCATTTTTTGCAAAGCTGACAAGGATCAAGCTGAAGAAGTGATGAGGATATTGGCAATGTATGAACAAGGCTCAGGACAATTGATAAATATGGAAAAATCATCGGTCTTTTTTAGCAAGAATGTGGAACCTGAGGAACAAAAGGAAATATGCAGTAGACTAGGACATATCCAGGTGGTACATCAAGGGAAGTATTTGGGGCTGCCTATGGTCATTACCAAAACAAAGTACCAGATCTTTGGTTTTATCAGAGATAAATGTCAGAAAACGGTTGCTAGTTGGTGCAATAAGCAGCTCTCCCAAGCAGGCAAAGAGGTTTTAATGAAAGCTATAACTATGGCAATGCCAACCTATGCCATGTCATGTTTTAAGTTTCCAGTCAAGCTATGTAAAGACATTCAAGCGCTTATGGCAAGGTTCTGGTGGGGAGAGGAAAATGACAAAAGGAAAGTGCATTGGTGTTCATGGCAAAAGCTGGCAAAAGGAAATCATAATGATGGCTTAGGCTTTAAAGACTTACAAGGCTTTAATAAAGCATTGTTGGGTAAACAAATCTGGAGGCTTCTCACCTGTTCAAACCTGCTGATAAGTAAGGTGATGAAAGCCAAGTATTACCAACATGAGTCACCCCTAAGCTGCGGAGCCAAAGCCAACTCCTCTTGGATATGGAAAAGCATGATGAGCGCAAGAGAGGAGGTAAGAAGAGGAGCAAGGAGGAAGATAGGGAATGGCAAAGACACTAGAATTTGGGAGGATGCTTGGATCCAGGATGGCAAAGAAGGTAAAGTGGTGTCCACAAAGCCCCCAACTAGTACGATGAGTAAAGTGAGTGACCTGATTTGTAACTTCAGATGGAATGCACCTCTTGTGTTTAGAACTTTCAATCCGAGAGAAGCCAGACAGATTCTCAAAATTCCTATTAGTCTTACTAGCAGACCAGACTCCTACTTTTGGAGCCATAGTGAGAATGGACAGTACACAGTGAGTTCAGCATATGACGCAATAACAAGAAGGAAAAATTGGTTGGAAGGCAACGGCAGAGATAAAGGAGAGACAAGCTGGGAAGGAGGGAGCCGAAAAGCTTGGAAACAGCTCTGGAAGATGAAGATCAAACACAAACAAAAGCTGTTTGTATGGAAAATTCTGAACCGAGCCTTGCCATGTAGGGAGGTAGTACATAAACGAACGGGCAAAGGTGATTTAATCTGCAAGCGGTGTGGGGAAAATACTGAAACTGTGGAACATATTTTCTTTCAGTGCAAACAAGCGCAAATGATATGGCGGATGGCGCCCTCCCAGTGGGATGGACTTAAAGAGCACACAGCTGACTTCAGCAGATGGTGGAGTATGTTAATGAAAGTGCAGGTGCGAAAGGAGGGAAGGGAGCACATAAACTTAACAGTGGAAATACTTTGGCAGATCTGGAAAGTTAGAAATGAAGCTGAATTTGAAGGGAAGGATAGACATCCTATGCAAGTCATTAGGAAAGCCATGAAGGATTGGGAGGAGTATCAACAATCACAACAGAAACAACATCAGTTGAGCATTCTCGAAACAGAAACAACACAAGATGAGGAGGAATGGATGGGGGATGAGGAGTGCTTGCTGAACATCAGTGTTGAGGTGGGTCAACATGTTGAGGGCCAAAATATGGGAATTGGGGTGACAGCAGAAAACAATCTGAGCCAAAGACGTGATGCTTGGATACTGAGCGAGAGAAGCACTGGTTCAGCAGTTTTGGACAATCTCTTGGCTATAAAACTGACACTTCAGAAGCTCAAGGACAAAGGTTGGCAGCATGTCAATATTCGAACTCCATGCAGTCAGGTTCTTAATAGGGCAAATTCCACTTTACCCCCCTGTGGTTTAGCATTTTTTCACATAACCCCCCTATAGTTTCAAAAGCTATACATAACCCCATTATGGTTTGAATTAAAGTGTCAAAGTAACGGAAATAGTCACTCGTAACGGCGTCACCTAAAATGTCAAAAATACCCTTATGTAAGGTTGAAATTTATGTATTAACCAAGGGGGGTTATGTGTATATTTTGAAAATCATAAGGGGGTTATATGGTAAAGTATTAAACTATAAGGGGGTTATATGGTAAAATATAAAAATCATAGGGGGTTAATGTGTCATGTATTTATAAGGGTAATTTCGACATTTTTAAAAGTTCCGTTACAAGTGACTATTTCTGTTACTTTGACACTTTAATCCAAACTATGAGGGGGTTATGTATAGCTTTTGAAACCATAGGGGGGTTATGTAAAAAAAGGGTAAACCACAGGGGGGTAAAATGTAATTTACCCTTCTTAATATGATACGCTATCAAGGTTCTGGTAACTTAAGGCTGGCAACTCACTTGGACGACATAAAAGACTTTTGCTCAATGTTTAGGAAATGCTCATTTGATAGTTTGCCTGTTGCTATGGATAGACTCAGTACTAAACTGAGTAGATTAGCTATGATTATACTTTGAGGATGAAATTTCAGTTCATCAGTGGCCTAGTCCACTTTTGTAAAGACCAATTTGAGCCCTTGCTCAACCTATGTAATTTTACTTCCTTATTATAATAAAATTCTATCGTTTCCGAAAAAAAAAAAGGATCGTTTCTCGGAACACTTTGTGGGAAATATTTCATACAGGTTAAAGCGCCAAATCCTAGAACTCCCAGTGTTATTTCTATGTCTGGCGAAACGCACAGCGCGGTAATCGTGGTGGCCGTGCTAATCATAGCAGCCACTTATCAAGCTATTTTAAGCCCACCAAGAGGATTAATTTCTGGAATTACTGATATAAGCAGTGGTCCAACTTCAAACCGCACTGATGTAGGGCGCCTATTTGCACCAGTACCATTATTCCCGAGCCCAGACGTGGCTTTTCGGTTTCTTAATCTTTTAACGTTTAACTCAGTGCCATTTTTGTCGTCGCTTTTCACCATTTATTTTCTATTTCAAGCAAATGACCTGTTGAATGGTATTCTGAATTTGTCATTACTACATTTTAGTGTATGCTATACAATTTCAGCTCTTATCGTAACACCATCTGCGGCAGCAGGACTCATTGGTGCCATAACATTTGGTGCAATTCTCGACTTGGTGGATATGGCAATTCTTGCCACGGAAAGTTACGCATTATGCAATTCTAAACGAGATCGAAAGTACCGCTCCAAAGGGAAACCAGTAAGAAGGGGGGATAGAGGTAAGAGTGGGAGAGAAGACATGTCCGTACAAGCAGAGAGACAGCAAAATCAGAAACAGCAGCTGTGGGGCACCTGACGAATCGGTATGAGCTAGTAATTGGGATTAACACTTGACAATTCAATCTGTTTAACGCAAATTTGCTCTAGCAGTATATGAATCGATCTGACATTTACACCAGCCTTTGCTCTAGCAGAAATCTTGATTGGAGAAAGATATATGATCAACAATAACTATATGTGGGAACTGAACCAAATTGTAAATCGGATATCATATAAATTAGAGCAAATTATCTGAATAGCCACTAAACTTTTTCAATAATGAAGATTTGGCCATTAAACTGTTAATGGTACGTTTTTACCTACTGAACTATCAAAAGTATAAAATTTGACCGTCTAATTCCACCATTAATTCTGTTAGATATAAGAGTCCACACGATTTATGAGACATACCAGAATCAACGATAAAATTAGACAGAATGAACCAAAATTATACTTTTTGATAGTTTAATGGGTTCAAACATACTACTAATAGTTGAGTGGCTAAAACTCGACTATTTAAATAGTACAGTGATTATTTAAATAATTTGCCCTATAAATTACGATTGGACTTGCATACATCCAAAAAAGGAAAAAGACCTTAACTACTACAACTTCACCACTTAAGAAAAAACAGAAATTCTGTAAATGTGGAAAACGGTAAACCAACTAAAACGAATTGTTGCCTAGCTATTACATGGATGAATAAAACAAGTCTTCAAACTTCACGTTTGACAAGATCACGACTTCTGTCCGACTGCATGGAATCCTCACATCGAGCTATCTAATCTCTTTCGCAAACCTTGTTGTATACATATTGGTACCAAGGAGACAAGCAAACGCCGCCGTTGTATGTGCAAAACTCATCGCAGAAGCTCCGGAATGAATCATACTTAAGCAGAAAAACAGATAAAAAGGGGTTCGGAGGAAGGAATTATAAGGCAGAGATCAAGCAAGATAACTATTATTACTTCTATTTCTTATATACGCAGAATTTTCCATGATGTCCCTAGTAGAGTCGGAAAAGGATTGAGTTTAAATTCAATCAGGCTTAATTGATATTGATTGTTTGTTTCCTTTTTCTCTTTTTGGAAAGAGAAATAAAGCAATTTTTTTTTGCCCTGTTTGGGTGTATAACGATAACGGTAAATTTTATCTTAGTCCAAAGTAACTACCAATGTAGCTTTTGACCAATAAAAGTGTTCCAAATAAAATTACAAAGTACATTAATTCGATATTAAGGCCGATTAAGGTTGTAGAGTCCTTATTTATCCATTCTCATACTTTCGAATTGGTCAAAACTAACGATTGAGGAAGTTGGTCCAAATTGAAGTAAAGTTTCTTTGTTTACCCCTCCGATATAAAATTTTTTAGGGTTAAAAACAAAAAAATCCATTGTGGTATATCTAATATACAGAAAATCCCCCTGTGGTTTCAAAATATACAACACCTCATGTTTTGAACTAAATTGTAAACTAACAAAATTCGTTAAATTTAACGAAAATGACGGTTTCGGCCGTTAAACTTATCAGATTCCGTTAAATTTACCGGATTCTGTTAAGTTTTCCGTTAAATGTACCGGATTTCGTTAAGTTTAACGAATTTTATTAGTTTATAATTTAGTTCAAAACATAACGCGTCGTTTTGTATATTTTGAAATCACGGGGACTTTTCTGTATATTAGATATACTACAGGGGGCTTTTTTTGTTTTTAACCCAATTTTTTATAAGATAATGATCAACATACTGAAACGCCATGTAACAAGGGCAGAATACTTGCCTTATTTTCTTGGCAACTTTGTGAAATGGAAATAAAATTTTTGATAAGATAATGATCAGCGTATTGAAAAGTCATATCCATCTAGGAATAGCAGAATACTTGCCTTATTTATTGACAACTATCTATTCAATCAGGATTTCTACAGCTTTTCTCCATAGTTATCTATCATTTACTCACTAAGGCTTCTAAAATTATCTGATCACGCTGCAATATGTGTGTGTGTGTGTTTGTCAAGTAAATAAACATATTGAAAACTCAAATCCGTTCGGATGCTATACAATGAATCAAATTCCCTTGTACTGAACATTTGGATAGTATAGCAGTGTAAGACGAATTGCAATGAACACTGATAGTGTAGAATGAAACAAAAATCTCTATTAAAGATTATAATGGAAAGATTGTAACGGTTAAACAAATGATCCGATCACTTAGTCAATTCAATTTTAAACTTAATTAAGGTCAATGTAGAGGAACCTAATTCTGTAATATCCCATCTAATATAGCCTATATTTTCACTATCTTTTTTTTTTTAAGAGGATCAATAATGACTCCTCACATAGTCCCAAAAGAAAAGAGTTTTACCAAAATCAAACTATGCTTCATTGTCACTAGCATTTTCTATAGGGCCACATGCGGGTTTGAAGTATTTACAAATGGTAGTCAAAGAAATTCAAATTACTTGGACAGTGTTAGAGGGAATTTCCTACGATTTAGGAGTACTTATTCAGAATTTGCTGCAGAAGTACGCTTGTGACACCAGATGCTGAGATCTTAGGAAACACCCCAAAAAAAATAGTAGCAAAGAAAATAAGATCAAACTTCAAATTTCTAACTAAACTCGCAGAGGTCCTTTATGGTGGGCTTAAGAACTGAAAAAACTGCATGCCATCCTGCTTGTGTTGGGTGCGCATTATCCCAAAAGAATGCATGTTTGGGTTTTCTACAAACTGTATACATTTGTTTTCCATTGCTATCCACATCTCCACAAGAATAATTTGCTATCCCTTGACAACAAGGAGTTAATGGAGCTTCTGCATGCAATTTTGGTGCATCAAACCCCAAAAAAAAAAAATTTGTTATCACTACTTCACGAATAGGAAGAGCACAACAACAAGAGAAGGCCCTTCAAAAAAAAAAAAAAGGGAAAAAACCATTGTACAAGTTGTTTTCTTGAGAAGAGATTTTTAGACTTGAACTGAGGTAATAACGCACTCTTACATAGTAGCATTGTGTTCTACGGAGGAAAAAGAAAGAAAAACAGGAAAAGCAACCATATTTTCTGGCATAAGATTTGTGTTAAAAGACGTACATGTAGTGAAAATATAAACTTAAAGCTTGTCTAAGGACCACTGTATACTAATTTTTTTTTTTTTTTAAAAAGACTCCTTTATATAAGATTAGGTTTTTTCTAGGATAAGCACACCCAAAAAAAGTAGACCTATTATAAAATTCTAAAAATATCCTTACTCTTTTTTTTTAATAAGTAAGAAGATTTAAATTCAGAACCACTTACTTACAACTCTTCCTATCTTAATTACCACCCTACCTTACCTTTCCGCAAATATCACTCTCCCTTACTTCTTATTTCACCTACACTGCACGTTTTTGCTTATAATTTTCAAATTTTTGGCCCCACTTTTTATCCGCATAGAATAAAAGAATCCACAAGATAAATCCTAGATAACTAAACAGGGTGAACATTTGAAAAACAGAAGAAACAACAAGATCAAGAAAGTAAGATAAAGCACCTTTGCGATCTTGAACATGTTGGATAATTGTAGTGAATGCAGCATCAAGATCAAGAATCTCGAATTGAGTCGATAAGCTCTCATTGTTCAACTGTGCCACAGAATCTGCTAGAATGGAATTATGTAGTATAGACGCCATATTTGCAGTGTAATTACATTGTTTGAAACCACTACTTATTGTAATTACAGGTACACATCCTAATGGTGGCAGCGATCCCACTGCTATTCTCTTCACCCCTAAGTCTGAAATGCGTTTCAAGATTGCTGCAAGTTTTTGCACCACACCAGGGATGAAAGTAATTATGAGATCCTGTGAATGAAAAACTGTTTTGTAAAACCATAATTGCATCAAATTCATTTGCCACTGGTTGTTGTGTTACATCATTTATTAATTTCTTTTGGGTACCCTTACATTTTGTATTTCACAAGAATATAAACAAAGGTGTACCCAAAAAAATATACATGATTCCACATGGGTAAAAGCTTACAATTTCCAGAAGCGGACAAAATTATACATGTATCTTGGGGGCAGGGGTAAAACACAAAGAGCATTCAAAAGTAAAATAGGAGTACCAAAGATTGTAACATATCTACAAGCATTCTATTTTTTTAACCCCAAGTTAGAGGGAGATTTCAAACCTTACAAAAATGGAGAGATAAATGGAAGAACTTGAGAATCTTTAAACTTATGCAAACACTTTACAAAAATTATGGTACTATTCTAGCTTGACTTGATGACAAATTGATTAATCTCCCAAATCCAAATCTTTTTCCCTTCTTTCTCCCTAAATGTTAGCCACACCCCTACGTTTCAGATACTCATCCTATCATCCAAAACCTCTAAAATCTCATTTAGATATCCATCACTTCCGAGAATAGATTCTAATGCTACTTACTTTTCTTTTTTAAAAAACAAAAATGAGTATATGAAGTTCAAAGGGAAATACCATAGATAAATTCAGATTAATTTATGAAGTAATATGTTATTTTCTATTTTAAAATTAACTTGAACTAAGCTAAACCTATGAAAATGGATCGAATATCATATATAATGCTCCAAAATCGAATGGTTCTGATATATTGTAATTTTACCAAAATGGTGCCTCCTCTTGCTAAAAAAGCAGAATAATCGTTGCCTGAAAGAGTAACTAGAGTCAAAGAGTGTTCAAGGTCGCATTTTGAGTACACCGCTTTCTTGATGAGTTCTTCAAAAAAATCCACTTGGGTGCTGAAATTAGGCACTGAAGACAATGTTTTGCCCACACCAGCCCCTCCAAAGGCAAAATTTATCCCATATTGCAAATCCTTCTTCTGTGCATTCCTCATTCTATATGGCACTGGAGACTTTAGTCCCAAGAAATCCGCTGCTCATTCCTAAATTTACCCAACCAAAACTCAGTACATCATGCAGAAACCAGCATGGAGAATATGCTAATGTCAAAAAACTCATATCATCTAGTTTTGAGAGAGTTCTGCTTAAAATTTATGCATGGAAAAGAAAATTCTTGGCATTAACTGCGATACATTTCAAAATGGTAAAATCCCATCTTTCACCAAAAAAACTTATCTACACAAATAAATTAACATAAGATATTTGTAGCTAGGCTGGAAATAAATATTATGTAGTTGACTTACCAATGAAATCAGTCAGGATATGGCCGTCGGAGAATCGGCCGTCTGGCTTGCCTGGAAAAGTCAGTCCATAAGGTTTGTCCTTCCACATTTTTGGGAGATTTCCAGTATCAGCATAGGAGTCTCCGATAACAAAGAGCTTTTCAATCCCATAATTATTTTTACGTGATGATTTCTTACGATAGTGAACCTTCAACACCAAATTCTCCTGCAAAATGTGATAGATATCAAACTCTTGTACAAGAATCTTATACAATCCCTACCTAAAAGCTAAGACAATCCCGAGGTTAAGAGTCCTTTTCGTCCATGAAAAGAATTGTGAAGCTCATATAGAGCTAGACGTGAATTTATAAAAGATTCTGTAATTTACCTGAAAATGTACCGTATATCAGTGTTGCAGACAGGAAAAAGAGTTGAACTTTCATGCTGGTGTTGTTTTGAGGAAACGAAGAAAGATAACAGTCATTAGGAATCTTACCCTTTTATAAGTTCGTTTTGGGGTGGATTTTTATGAGTAATGGTAAAATAAATCAGATTTAAATTCAAATATAAACGTTATCAATTTTTTTTAAAATTTTTACTTATTATTATTTTTTGTATGTGAGAGATCTTGAATTCAAAATCTCTTACTTACAACCCTTCCCACTTTAACACCCAACCCAATCCTCCACCTATCACTCGAATGTTATGTTGAGCAAGCTTGCTTATTTTTAAAATAAAAAGGAATAAGAAGAAAAAGAATGAAAAAATAATTTTAAAAGTCATTCTAAGTATAAGAATACCAAACAAGGGAAGTGCATTAAAATATTTAAGGGTAGTATTGTCATTTTAAATGACAAGAGAGGTATGTGTAATTTTAAAAACCTCGAGGGAGCTAAATGAAATTGTTAAAAATCTCAAGGGAAGTTTTTGAAATTATCCCTCGAAACTAAAGTGGGACATATTTTATGCTTTAAGGACTAAACCAAATTTTAAATTTTAAACACTAAAGTGACCCATTTTGAAGCCAAGGATATATTGGACTAATTCATCTGGAAGATATATAGGAGCATTAATTAAATCTTTATTTGTATTGTTTTCTTAGATCTATTATATTTATCGATTTCAGATCTACATGTATTTGTGTTATGCTTGTTTGATATATTTTCTACCATTAGTGCAGATTTGTTTGAATAAAATGATCTTTTCTATAAAAAAAAAAAAACATTAAAAAACATATTACGTAAAGTTGTTGCACTAATTTTTTGGGTGCATTGAGTCAATCACAAATAGGTTTTCCATTAACTTTTTATTTTCCTAATTTCACACACATCAAATTACAAAAGTATTATAACAAATATTTTAAATAATAATATTCAATCCAAACACACATGGTTTATTTGGATTGAATATTATCTGAAAAAATTTTAGGTATCATTTATAGTAACATTTTTTGAATGTGATATATATGTGACGAAAAAGTAGTTCAAAAACATAATACTGTGAATATTAAAAAATTTATTTTCCAAATGATCTTATCCAAAAATTTCTTGACCATGTTCATAGGTTTTTTAAGTTTCGTGCTTTAAAATACATAATAAGCACACAAAATAAAGAAATGAATCCATTGTTATATACATTTCAAACGTTATCCTCCGTCCGTCAATTACGTAAGCAGTTGCTTACAAAATATATTGACTTCTCATCCTTATTCTCTAAGGGTTAAAAATAGAAGAGCCCACATTTGTATATCTTGACTTCTTGATTAGTAGGTATTGTAATTATAAGATTTTCAAGAAAATTAATTCAAGCTACCATTATACAATCTCTCTTTAATCTGAGGAGAGATGGATTTAATGACACGGAGAAAAGAGTGTAAATGAAAAGTGATGAACTTGAAAGTTACACCATCAAAAAAGGGAAAAAACTCTCATCAATCAAGATGCCCTGATGGTGCTTTACCATCGAACCAAAAACAAAATTGTGAAGGTTCTTTTGCATGGCTATCATGGGTGCAACGTGTCAGTTTGTGACTGTGGCAAGTGAATCTATTGGGAGGTCACCAAAGATTTAAATAGTTGGCCTCCCACTGAAATGAACACTTGATTCAACATCATTCATCGAGCTTGCTAGGCTTCATTTCCTCCACTAGCTTCTGAAAAATGTCGGCAGCAGCATCAGTAGAAGCCATTGATCTTATAGACTATGTAATAAACCAAGGCAATGGAGTAAAGGGTCTTTCCAAATTAGGCCTAAAAACCATTCCTCACCAATACATCCAACCGCCAGAAGAAAGGCTAGACCAGAACCAAATAGTTGATGAAGAGTCAATACCAATCATTGATGTATCCAACTGGGATGATCCGGAAGTGGTTAGTTCAATCTGTGAGGCTGCTGCCAAGTGGGGTTTCTTTCAAATTGTTAATCATGGCATCCCACTTGAGGTTCTTGAAAATGTGATGGAAGCAGGGCATAAATTCTTTGAGTTACCCAGTGAGGAAAAGAGGAAGTATTTGAAGGAAAATTCACCTACTCCCACTGTTCAGTTGAAGACTAGCTTTAGTTTAGCAGAAAAGGTTTTGGAGTGGAAGGATTTTCTCATGCATTGGTATTTCCCAGATGATGAAAGTGTTAATCTCTGGCCTGCTGTGTCCAAGTAAGTTCTTAATTTCATGGATCCTTTTTATTTTCTCAGCGATTTACTGGGTAAAATGTGGGTAATTATTATTCAATGAAGAAGCAGAGAATCATCATGAATTTGGATTTTGCATTTAGATGTTTATCCTGATTCTTCTTAACATGATGATTAACTGCTTTAGTTTGTATGTTATATAATTAGTTTTGGAAAATTTTTATTTGTTCAAATCAATAACAGTGGACTCTGACAGTTAATAGTAGTGGGATGGAATGGAACCAATGGTTAGTTTTATGAATTGTCTAATTATGCAAATTCTGTAATTATGCATTCCATTTGGATACAAAAGCATGACGAGTTTGCCTGAGTTGTAATGTTAGATTGAGGAAAAAATATATCCTATCCGTTAAAAGAGTAACAATGAATGTTCAATATAACTTGCACTGTTGTTTTATTTGCACCAATTGTTTTGACACTTTATAGCAGCCTTATTGATGCTTTCATGGTCTTATTCTTGTGTTTGTTGTTCTTTATCTTGTCATAGTAAACTTGACATAGCTATATGTCAATAACTTACAATGAAAAATGTAGAATTGAGAGAACAGAATAAGCAGCAGACATGAAACTAAGAAAGCGAAAGAATGAAGAAGGAGAAAGCTAAAGACTAAACCTATTCGTGTTTCAATGTGCTTTGGATATTCAGTTACAGGCCTCTATCCTATTAAACTGGAGAGGATTCTTCAATCAATATCCTTTGTGCTATTTAGCTTAACCTCAGGTGTGGAACTCTGATAAGATGGTATAAGTTTTGCAGATATGCTGGTTTATGGCCATTAGTTTAACTTATGCCTTTTTGTTTTTTTTTTTCTGATTCACGGATGAGGACAATGAAAATTTCGTCAGAAAATTGAGAATCATATTCTGTTTCATGTAGCTTTCAAGCACTATTTATATAAGTCCTCTCTTCAACAAACTGATAGTTCCTATGGACTTTTATTAACAGCACCAAGTTAACCAGATAGAGTTCATAGGTACTACTGTACTTCTAGTGTAATTGGTTAACTACCCTTTGTCATGTAATCTATTGAGCATGAGAAAACATGAGATATTGTTCTTTTAATGATATTAGGCATCCATTCTTGCAAAGATTCCTTTATAGTATTCCTGTGAAACATGAAGAAATATTTAAGGTGTTTAATGAATCATAGTAGCTTCGAAAATGTTACAGCAGAAAAGACTGAACATCACTAAAGTTAGGGAAAATCAAATTTTTAATCTTCCTGGAATTCAAAATTTGATTCCACCCTGAAACTATGAGTGGATCAGACATCTAGATACTACATTTTCTTCTGCTTTATGTCGTTGTAGTTCCACTTTATTGGTGTCAGTAATTGTCTTTGATTGTGGTTTTCTGATTTTTATGTTTCCAAGATCTCAGTCATTATGGTGGCAAATTATTTTTTTCTTACTTTTTACAGGGATCAGGTGTTGGAATACGTAAACTGGGCAAAGCCTGTAATCAGAAAGCTACTAGAGGTGCTATTGAAAGGGCTTAATGTGAAGGAGTTCAATGAATCAAAAGAATCTCAGCTTATGGGTGCTCTTATTGTCGACCTCATGCACTACCCCTTGTGTCCAAACCCTGAGCTTGCTGCTGGAGTTGGTCGTCATGCTGATATCTCAAGCATCACAATCCTTCTCCAAGACGAAGTAGGTGGCCTATATGTTCAGGGAACAAGAGCTGATCAGTGGATCCATGTAACACCAGTCAAAGGGGCACTCGTGATTAACATAGGCGACATATTACAAATTGTGAGCAATGACCGTTACAAAAGCATTGAGCATCGTGTGATTGTTAACAAAAGTAGAAATAGGGTTTCAGTGCCAATCTTTCTGAACCCTAAAGATGATGCAGTTGTTGGTCCTTTTCCTGAATTGCTGGAGAGTGGAGAAAAACCAATTTATAAGAATGTTGTCTTCTCAGATTACTTCAACTTCTTCTTCAGCAAAGGCCCTGAAGGAAAGAAGACTCTGGAATTTGCAAAGGTATGATGTACTTCCAATTCTATGAGGCTTAGGAAGTTGCAATACAATGAATTTGGGCTATAATAAGGATGCAAGGTGTTCTACCATGCAAGGTGAGAAATGAATGCTGTCTTTACCGAGGTTCCAGTGCTTGTCCTATCTGTTTCTCCATTCCATAAGAAGGAATTCAAAAGTGATTGATTTTGTTTCTTTATGAAGATATGTAATGATGTTAGATATACAATTAGACAGATTAGCCTGAAATCATGAAGTGGAAGATGTACATGTAAGTTCTTGGGCACTTTTCTGATGGGGAGTAGACCATCAGACTTTTCATGAAGTTGTATGTATGTTCTTCCTCACTCTTTGTTTTTTCTTTATTCCCTGCTTTCTTGTCATTAGCATACTGTTTTGGCGTTAGATGAGCTTATGCCCTATTCTCTACTGTATATGTTGTCATGGGCAATGCCCCTTTTTCCTTGTGTAAACCATTCTTAATAATCAAGAAAATTTTTGATGTTTTCTTAAAATATAGGTATGGGGGAGAGAGTCAACAGATTAGTAACTTTTGCCAGCTGCTTATAAATTTAAGATATGGGACTGTGTTTAGATGGGATCCCTGCCTTCTCCTACCTGTTTCCTACGAATTAAATTGAAGTCATTCACTTTGTTATCATGTTAGAAATTGGAACTTGCTTGTTGCTAGATGCACCTTATATCAGGCGTGTGAATTTGGAAGACTGAATAGTGATTTTTGAGCTCTAAAAGATCCACTCGAAACCATCAAAGTGGAAGTTGTAGTCAAGTTTCAATTGGGGATTCCACGAAGGAAACCTTTTCTATATTCATGTTCAGCATTTTTCTTTACCTGTTTCCGGAAAGTAAATTGGATGTTTTCAAGATGCAAGTTACTGACTTTAACATAATATGCTTCTCAGCCTCTTCTGAATCAGCCAAATCCACCATCTTATTTTTCAAGTTTACCTCAACTGTTGGAGCCTTCACTGGAGCAGCAACCTGTTATCAAAATGGCCTTGTAACCTAAACTTATACAGAAATGGGATGCTGTCATAAGGCTGATAAATCTTTGAAAGCATAGCTTACAAAAGAACGTATATTTTGAGCTAACAAATGTACAATCACCTCTTAAATACATTTCTAAACAGTCAGGGAGAGTAATACAACGCATCCAATATGTCTATTGTTTTTGCTACTAATGCATTATTTAGAAAACAGTTGTTCATATATTTGAAGTACTTCCAGTTATGAACCTGTGCATCTCTGGCTTTTGCTTGTCATTTTTTCATGTATCTTTGGAAAGAGACGATTTTCTTGAATCTTTGAAGATGTCATGTTAAGGGCGAGCATGGCAGATACTATCTTTTGTGGTTTATTTGAAAAAAGTATCACCGATGCTAATCGCAAGAAAAATTATTCAATGGATCTTATATCTGTTTGACTCAAATGTTTGTAATGTAAGCCATAATTTGGAAAAACGGATAATGTAGGCCAGTAAACTGAATTTCTAACTGTTGGAATGGGTAGTGCTTAACCAAACAGTGGGACAGAGCTTTGCATACTTTGCTTCTGTAACTAATCTGAGTCCTTATGTGGAGCATGATTGAATCTAAAAGGAGTGAGAATTTTATATTGAAATTGAGAGTGATTTTCTGTCTCATGAAACTTTTAGGATGCATCATCTGGCTTTTTCTTTCCCTTATGGACACTAATTTCGGCTATAGTTCAGTTTAAATCAGTTTTATTTGGCTCTTCTGCATTATTTATATCTGTCTGCGGTATTCTAGGCTAACTAGTATTTGTTAGTGCTACTCTAGACATCATGTATTGGGATAGATGAAGTGTGCTACTAAAATATGAAGGTATTGCAATGTGAAGAGCTGCTCAAGGGATTAAAATGTGAAGGCGTTTGATGAAGCAAAAAGAATCTCTCCTAATGTACGCTTTTACTTTCAACCATATTTTCTAACCATTTTGTCCAAATCCTGAACTGACTTATGGAGATAGCCATCATTCTGATATTTAGATCATCAGCATCCTGCTTCAGGATGACATAGGAGGTTTTTACATGCGAGGAACAAGAGTAGATCAGTGGATCCATCTTAGAATTGTGTGCAATGATCAATATTGGTATCTTAAGCATCGCAACACTATTAATGTAACAAAAAACTGAGTGTTCTTGCGCCTACCGTTGTCAACCCTGCAGCTAATGCAGCTGTTATTCCTTTATCAGATATTCTACAGAATGGATAGAAGCCAATTTATAAGGATGTCGTCCGGTTGGATTACTAATACTTCTTCTATAGGAAAGGACATGAGGGAAAGTAGACAATTTGGTTTGCTGAGTTGTGATGCTAAAGTTTATGAAAGATGGGATTTGGAGGATTGAGGCTGAGCTTCGCATACCTAAATTATCTGCTAAAGCTCACATGCCAGCCCAAAGGGCACCCTTTTCTACTCACAGAAATACGCAAAGTTTGAAATGAAGTTCTAAATAAGCTTCGTCACAGATTACAACAGATAAAGGCAACACTCCTGTAAGTACTATTACATAGAATATCAACTATACCATTTGTTCCTCGTTTCAGAATGGCTTAACTTCTGAAACAGTAGGAATAACTGCATTTTAGTGAATATATAGACAAATATTGTGCAACATATATCCTCAATACCTGTTTAATAGATTTTTTTTCTCTCAGATTAGTTCAAATTCATTGCAGTGAGGACAAGTAGACAAGAGAGTTGCCTAGTTTACAAATATATCCAGTTCAAGGAAGCTTATAGAAGATGTCATTAATTTATTTGGAGCTGTTATGGGAATGCAAAGGTAAATTAGAAACATGTTGAACCTTGAGCAGGTTTAGAGTAATAATAAATCCATATATAGATTGTGTGAGATATGTAACATTTTCTTCTTTGGGAGGTATATTGATTCAATCAAAAGAACAAGGGGCAATGTGCAAATGGGGTGAAATGCAAAGGATTACTTGAATTACCCAAAGCCGAGTGACATGTAACAGCTTCTGTCACCAAACTATCACAAGAAATTGGACTGACTCCAAAACAAGTATACAAGATAATAAACAATAAGTCTTCCCAAAAATTTCTCACTCAAAATGGATGATACGCAAGTGCTGGTAGAGTAGTGGTTCATGAGATCCAAATCTCTGATCTAGAACTGTACTGAAAACTATTCTTGCGTTCTTCCATGGCTATTAATAAGAAAATACCAGACTCTGCTTGATTTTGGAATTTCAATAATTAGTTTCTGAAATGTCAGCAGCGTCTGTTGAATTTGAACTCACTGATCTCATAGACTTTGCAGTAAACCAAGGCAATGGGGTCAAGGGTCTATCCAACTTAGGCATAAAAACCATCCCTCAGAAATACATCTTACCCCCTGAAGATAGACTAAATCAGAACCAGATAGCGCAAGATGAATCAATAGCTGTCATTGATGTATCTAACTGGGATGATCCAAAAATTGCAGCCTCAATCTGTGAGGCTGCAGCCAAAAGGGGTTGCTTTCAAATTATCAATCATGGCATCCCACTTGAGGTTCTTGAAAATGTAAAGGAAGCTGGGCACAAATTCTTTGAGTTGCCAGATGAGGAAAGGAGGAAGTATTTGAAGGAAAATTCACCTACTCCCACTGTGCAGTTGAAAACTAGCTTTAGTCCTCTTGCAGAAAAGGTTTTGGAGTGGAAAGATTATCTTACGCATTTGTATATTCCAGATGATGAGAGTTCAAAATTATGGCCTTCTGTGTCCAAGTAAGAAGCTAATTTCTGCCACCATTTCTTGTTTTGCTTCTTCCTATATACCAAGAAGCAGAATTATGTGGAGTGCAGTCCATTATCATGATATATGTGTTTTCTCCAATTACATTTCTATGCAGATTCTTTTAGAAAATATCTTTCAGTTAGGTATACATGGTTTAGTTGTTTCTTTAACAACTTTGATCTTAATCAACTCAAGAACTATAATCAGGGGAAATAAAAAAGCATTCGTTTAATATATCCTCTTGTATTTTGATAGCTGATGATCAATCGACACAATCAATCCATGCCTACCCAGGGTAATATGTGATAGCTGAAGTAGTTAGATTTCTGTTGTATTGGTATTGAAGAGAAACATGCAATTTGGCAAATCATCATTGCCTAGTTGTACAATCTACGCTCGTCACTAAAAAAGAAATTATAAGGATAGCCAGTATATAAAACCTTAGATGAAAAGCAGTCTGCTTTCTCTCAAGCTTTATCCAGATTGTGATGTTTCCCCTTTAGTGCTTTACCATGCTAACAAATTAGAATACATGATTACTGCATACAGAAGACTACAAAGTTGAGCTGACAGAATAAGAATTTGATTATGAAACTAAGAGAACTTAAAGTGATCGAGAAAAGAAGCTATTTGATGAATAGAATAACAGCATGATAATTAGATGAAGGGACTTGTAGTAGAACCAACCCTGATGGATTAACTGCTTTTCAGACTTTGAAAAACCCTTTCATATAGCTTTTACTGTAATCAGCTACTGTAACACCTATGCTGGAAGGTCCAGAATTGAAGAAACTTTCCTACGTGTTGCGTTTCTGTTGTCGGCAAGTACTACCAGGCTAAAAGTCAATATTGAAGCAAACTACACGAGGCTAGTTGCTTTAAGCTTATGGAAGTGCTGCCTTATCTATTGATTGAGAGCAGAAGATAGCTAAGGGGATCTCCAACGGTTGTCAAAAGTACTAGTTTGATTCTCTTTGCAGGGTGTAAAATTAAAATTATCAAAAAATAAAAAGTTGAATGGAAAAGCGACACAGGAGTGAGTCTTGGGTTTAAGAAGCTTTTGTGGATGATATGAAATGACTCTGGATTCTGTAGGCTGCCGATGTATTCCACTGAATAAGATTATCGAATTCTGAGCTTTACAAAGGGAATTAATCGAACCCAGAAGAAACTGAAAGCTGCTGAATTCCAAACAATTTTCTACTGAAATTGAGAACGACTTTCCAGAGTTTATGCTGTGTCCTGCCTTCAATATCTTGATGAAGGTCAGGGACCTTCGTACAATGCACATCATTAAGTAGATAGACCTGAAGAGTAACTCTGCACTTTCTGATATTTGCCTTTTCTCAAATACTGCATTGTAGTATAACTGGTCACTGCTATAACTTATGGGGATCCTATCTAGTGTAGAACATAGGAACTCTTACTATGGCATTACCATCAGCCATCAAATCCTAATACACCTACCTCTTCGAGATGCACCCTTTATTGGACAAGATTCAATGGGAATCACTCTGTTCAAAATTTCAAGCCTGAATCCTGTGATTATACTAGTATTCGCTCAGCAAACAGCAACAATAACGCCATGTAATGCTGGCTCAGACATTGAGAAACAGACTCTGCGCATTTCTATGTCTTGCTTCTATTATGTTCATATGTCAATTATATCTATTTCTGTTATCTGCATCTTGTTAGCTAACTATCGAAATTTTTTGTTTGTTATAGAGAT